GATGACACCCAACACTATCTTTCTGCCTCCACCCTCAACTCCAGGACCACTGCTGTCGGACATCAAGTCCTGGATGAGGGCAAACTTCCTACAGTTGAATGTGAACAAGACTGAGGCCCTTCTGATTACCTCGCGCCAGCGCCTCAGCACCTCAGGCTCTGGCAACATCAACCTCCATGGTTGCACACTTCAACTCACCAGCCAGTCAGGAACCTCGGTGTCTTGTTCGACCCTCAACTGTCTTTTTTCCCCCACATTCAAGTTCTGCGTTCCCTCACCTCCGTAACATCGCCCGACTCCGCCACTACCTCACCCCTCAGGCCGCTGAAACTCTTGTTCATGCCTTCATCACCTCCAGGCTCGACTATGAAAACGTCCTACTTGTCGGCCTTCCCAACTCCTCCCTCCACAGGCTGCAGATAATCCAGAACTGTGTAGCCCGTGTCCTCTCCCGCACCAAACTCCGTGACCCCATCTCCCCCACTCTCGCCCGACTCCATTGGCTCCCTATCCTTCAGAGGATCCAGTTCAAAATCCTGGTCCACGCCTACAAAGGCCCTCCATGGCCTCGCCCCACCCTACCTCTGTGACCTCTTAACCCCCTACCAACCCGCCCGCCTTCTCCGCTCAGCCGGCTTTGGCTCCACATCCCCCGAACCACCCACTCCACCATTGGCGGGAGTGCCTTCAGCCACTCTGTCCCCAATCACTTCACCTCGCCCTCTGTTTAGCCTCCTTCAAGTCCCGTCTTAAAGCCCTCCTCTTCGACCATGCCATCGGTTCGAGAAAAACAAAGGTTTGTTTTCGAAAAATTGATTGCAGATTCAATTAAAAATATTTCCATAATGGATTAAAACAGTTTGTTAAACCTTAAACAGAGGCGTGTGTTGGTATAACTAAGCCACTTGGAATTTTTTTTGTACAATACTTTAGCCCTTGGTACTTTGTATTTGATGGGCTGTCACATGGACACAAATCCTCGACCCAACAAGTTTCATCAACTGAAACAAGAATGTTTCCGCAAGGAAAGCTCCTGAGTGTTTGAGCTCGGTCAGTCGCTTGAAAAAGATACTGTGTTGGTTTTTATTGTAACAGTTTGGTACACAGTTGGAGTCCTGCAGCTCAATGGTTAGAGCACTCGCCTTGCAAGCGAGAGACCTGGGTTTGATCCCCGGCAGGACGAAATGTTGGGCAAGTTTACTTACTCCAAACGCCTCTGTTTACCAAGTAGGGAACCAGTTGTTAGTCATTGACAGATGATTTTTCCGGGGATAATAATCCCTTCAAAAAAAATTATTTGGTCATTCAATCCACAACTGTTTGTGGAACGCAATGGGCTGCTGAATTTCGCCCACAAATTATACAGTCACTACACTTTACAGTATATTCTGTGAAGCACTTTGAGAAGTCTCGAAGACGTGATAAGGCGGTGTTTCAAATGTACGAATTATTATTATTATTATTATTAAGAACAAATCTTTGATAGAATAAGCCTGCATTGTTTTTGTTACAATGGTAACACGGACAAAAGAAGAAACGAAGGAGAGAAAGAAAAGCACCAACTTGAGTTACATTTGCAGCACCTTATGTTGAGACATCTTGCATATTAATGACTGTCAAGTTTAGTGACTGTTTTTGTAGGCACACGTGATAGCCAATAAAGTCCACTAAACAACCGTGAACAGGTTTCTTCTGAACTGTTAGTCACAGGAGAGATTTGGATGAAGAAATACCCTTCAACTCATTCAATCTCATCCTTCTAAGAATATCCATCCTCACTGTCCTCCCGTCACAGGATTGAACTGGTTTTAGAATGAGTGAAACATCCTGGCCTCAATCATCATTCCTGATAACCCATTCCAGTTGTTAATTACCTTCTGGATAAAGAAATACTTCCTGGTGTCTGTCCTGAATTGCCCTGTGCAAATATTAGTCTGGTCTTCCAGTTCTGCTACCTCAGTGTATCTGAAAATATTGTTTTGGGTTTACTTCCTCAATCCCATTTAAAACCTTACGTACTTCCGTTAGGTTCCCTCTGAGAAGACTGGAAAAGGTTGTGGGTCGAATCCCCACATCGGGACATTGAGACAGACGGACTCTGGCTATATTGTTAGAGGTGCCGTCCTTCACATGAAACGTTAAATCGAGATCCTGTCTGCCTGTTCAGGTAGTCATTAAAGATCCCATAACTATTCCGGCCAACCATCCACAAACAAAATTAATTATTCACTTCTTGGCTGTTTGTGGACATTACTGCGTGCAAATTGGCCTCCAGATTTGCCTACGAAATACGTAATCACTCGACTTTGCAGTAAATTGTGTGAAGGGCCTTGAGACGTTTCAACGACACGATGAGGTCTTTTATCAAAGCAAGGATTACATATTATAATTTACCCATTGTGGTAAATAAAGTATTGAAGTATTGAACGTCTGTCATATTGAATGCAGTTAGAAAACGAGCCAAGTAGTGCAAAGGTTACGAAAACAAAGCAAGTTGTCCGGTCTGTCACATCAACCAGCTGCTCTTCCGACCTTTGCAAAAAGGATCCACGCAGGCACCGAGCCAAAAGCACATTGGAGAAACAATCTATAATTAGTCATTGGTGCCTCATGTACAATTCAGGAGAAGCAACAGCAGCAGCAGCAGCAGCAGACTGACTACTGGGAACAACTTGTACTTTGACCACACTTGGAATGGCAAAAACAACAGAGCAGAAAGAACATTTAGATGACCCATCCTAACAATAACGCCTCACTGAACGAGTGCATCTCAGGCCGTTTCGACGTGGACTGTCAAAGCATTCTGAATCACATATATATAAATATGCACACGTTTGCGCTGCTTGATCTGTGACTGCACGCCAGATGTTCAGATTTGTTCTTTTGTGCTTTTCTTAATCAACAGTGGAAGCGAGGCAAGTCAGATATAGGACAGGTCAGGTTTGAGAATCAGTAACCCCTGGACAACTCAATGGAAGCTGATTGATGATAATAATAATCCTTGCATTTGATATAGCCCCTTACCACATCTTTGAGACGTCTCAAAGAGCTTCACAGAATATACTGTAAAGTGAATTGACTGTATATTTTACGGGCGAAACTCGGCAGCCACTTGCACACAGAGGTGTCCCTCAAAGCAGCCGTGGATCGAGTGACCAAATTCTTACTATTATTTTAATATAAATAATAATCAGTAATACGACTAAGAATGGATAAATGAGAATAAATGTAGTCCAAGGGCAGTGCTGCATTGTCGGAGGTCAGATGAGACGTCAAACCGAGATGTCTGCCTGCTCGGGTGGATGTTAAAGATCCGTGACACTAACCGAAAAGAGAAGGGAGTTTCTCATCGTGTCCTGGCAATTAATCTACCCTCAGTTGAACTCCAACCTGCCCCTTATTGCACCCCCATATGTACTCTTATCAAACGCATCAATTGAAGTTACTTTTGCTCGACTCCACTCAATAAATAAGGACAGAAGGTACTTTCAGCGCACATTAGAATCAAACGCACAGTTACTCCATTTTACAGTATATACAGTATATTCTGTGAAATGCTTTGAGACGTCTTGACGACGTGATGAGGTTTATTATCATTATTATTGTTGTAAACTAGGCTCGGGGGATCTATTTCATTACAAAACATTCCATTTATTACCTTAGCAATCAAAGATGCAATAGTCTCTAACATTAAATGGAAATATACACAGTAAATGTGTTCTGATTCGATAACTTTGCCACAATCCTCCAGAAAGGTTGATCACTGACTTCACGACTATTGTGGGACCATCCTGCGAGCAATTCTTGCCTTCTCCACCTACAAATGTACAGTCACTACACTTAGCAGCAATTTAAATCGCATGATTTACTGCAACTATGTTTTTTTTAGGAGGAGCACAGCAGTCAAATGGCACACAGCAATGTCCCACACACAGTCATGAAATGAATAACTGATCTTATTTAGGGGACTTTTGTCCGGAACACTAGGAGAAACTCCCTTCTCTTTTTGACTAGTGCCATTGGATCCTTAACATCCGCCTGAACAGGCAGACAAGACCTCAGTTTAACGTCTCATCTGAAGGACGGCACCTCTGACAATGCAGCGTCCTCCCATCACCGCACTTATATTATATATTACACAGTCCTGACGTGAGGATTGAACCCACAACCTTCTGACTCACAGACGAGTGTGCAACTAACCGAGTCAGACTGATATACAATTATCATTAGAGTTTTTTCAATTTAGGAGTTTGAGAGTGGTATGAAAACTGCATTTAATAGTCATTTTTCTGGTTTAGGAACAACGAGGCCAGAATCTCAATTCGGTACGTGGGTTGTAAATTTCAGCAGCATTGCAGCACCACCTCATGGACATTTAACATACGTGGTATTCTAAGTACAGTAGTACTTTAGTAAGTAGTAGTACTCCAGGCAGGGCGAAACTTGGACAGAGCCTAATAATAATCCCTCCAAAAAAACAAAAACAATAATAAATTGGTCATTTTCAATCTACGACTGTTTGTGGGACATTGCTGTGCGCAATTGGCTGCCGCGGTCACCCACAAATATACAGTCAATTCACTTTACAGTATATTCTGTGAACCGTTTTGGGACGTCCTCGCGACGTGAAAAGCGCTATATCAAATGCAAGAATTTTTATTATTATTACTTTGGTTTGTAGACCCTTAAGCACAGCAATAGGTAAGTAACTCTCTGTGTGACCCAGTTAAATCTGAAGCTCTTCTCTGGGGTTATAATGAGGAATGTAACGAGAAGATTTAATTGTAAATATTCATGCGTCTTAAACCCTGTGACCAGAATTGCTGATCCATTAATACATCCTAGCGTTTCCTGATCTTTTAGCCTATTTGAGGAGACGTGTTTATTTCTTTACCCGACAAATCAGTGTGTTCTTTTGCTTAAAGGAAGTCTGAAAAACACCTATTAACAATTCAATATTTACAATTCTGTTTCTACACAAACTGCGTTTCTGCTTTCCTTGAGGAAATTATCTGGAGCCAAGTATTCTCGAAGTCTCTTTGCAATGAGATGCTGATGCAAACGCAATGGTTAAATACAAAACACGCAGAAGACACATGCCAATTATCTGCTGTTGAGTTCTCTGCGCTGTGATTCTTGCTGATCCGCTGCCAAACCTTCCCCCGGGAACTGCATTTGGAAAGTCCGTCCGTCCCTGGTGGAAGTGGAGGATTTTAGTGTTTTTGTTTTTGTGTTTGGCACAATTTTTGCATTTAATATTAAGCCTTTTACGTCAAGGGGCGTCTCTCAAAGTGCCTCAAAGGATAAGCCTGGCATTAAGTGCTTTGAGGCGTGGAAAAGCGCTGTATGAATGTAAATTGTCTTGTACAAACATGAGCAGTTTAAAAAGATTGGCATCCAGCGTCCACTGTTACTAATGAAAAGAAACACTGCAGTGATGTGGCACAGCTCAATAAAAAAAACAGAAAAAGGTGGTCCCAACCAATGCTGGGCTTTGTGTAACGGAGGGACGTAATGTGACAAAAATAGTGCAAGATATGAATTTCTCCCTCACATCCGCACCACAACTGGCACCGCCTTCCATCACCTCCGGAACATCGCCAGACTACGGCATTACCTCACCCCTCACGCTGCTGAAACCCTGGTCCACGCCTTTGTCACCTCAAGGCTGGACTATGGGAACTCTCTCCTCGCCGGCCTTCCCGCCCTCCCTCCACACTGCAGGTCATTCAGAACTCTGCAGCTCGTGTACTGTCCCGCACCAGGCTTCGGGACCACATCACTCCCACCCTCGCTCGCCTCCACTGGCTCCCCATCCCCCAGAGGATTGATTTCAAGATCCTCATCCTCACCTACAAGGCCATTCACGGCCTCGCTCCCTCCTACCTCTCCGACCTACTATCCCCCTACCTACCTGCCCGTACCCTCCGTTCCTCTGGCTCCGGTCTGCTCCACGTCCCCCGCCCCAACCGCCCTACCATCGGTGGTCGGGCCTTCAGCCTCTCAGCCCCGAGGCTCTGGAACTCTATCCCCAGTGCCTTCGCCGCCTCCTCCCTTTCCTCCTTCAAGGCCGGTCTCAAAACCTTTCTCTTTGACCGTGCCTTCAGCTCCCCTCTCGACTCTCTTCCCCTTCCTCGCTCCCTCCCTTCCCTCCCCTCACCCTGACCATTTCCCCCTCCTTGCTCCCTCCCTTCCCTCCCCTCACCCTGACCATTTCCCCCCTCCTCGCTCCCTCCCTTCCCTCCCCTCACCCTGACCATTTCCCCCCTGCTCGGGTCATGACCCAACTGTGCAGCGCCTTGGGACGTCCTCCTGACGTGAAAGGCGCTATATAAATGGAATCTTGTTGTTGTTGTTGTTACAAAAGAGATCATAGGAATAGTCAGCAAAAATTAACAACCTGAGGCTGTGCTGTACAGTCTAAGGAACAAGACGATTCTATTAAGCCTTTGGCATCTTATTTTCTCTTGGGAAATCCTTACCGTTGCTGCGCTCTGAGACGCTACCCAGCATGGAGGTTGCTATTTATAAGTGCAAGTTGTTGTTGTCAGTCTGTGGTCTGTCCATGGTACTGTGATGAGAGAAGCTCATACGGTCAAACTCATCACCTGCAGTCTGACCCTTTTCCGTGTTTGAAGGGTTTGTCGTCCGGCCCTTCTACTTGCCTGCAGTGTTGTGTCACTTTTCGTAGAATTTACTGAAAAGTGTGTTTACCTGTATATTTTTTTAAGGGGTTCAAACAGCAACGTCCCACAAACAGCCATGAAGTCAATGATCTACTACGTTGTCCGAGGGATTGTTGGCCAGGACATGAGAGGAGAGAAACTCTCTTCTCTTTTTTGAATAACACCATTGAGTCTATGATGTCTGCCTGAACGGGCACAGATTCTAAGCTTCCCCTCTCGTCTGAAGGACAGTGCCTCCAACAATGCAACGCTCTCCCCTCCCCCCAGCACTGTGCTGGAGGTCAGCCTAACCTATGAGCTGAGAATCCGATAATAATAATAATCCTTGCATTTGATATAGAGCCTTATCACGTCTTTAAGACGTTTCAAAGCGCTTCATAGAATATATTGGTAAATGAATTGACTGTATACTTTGTGGGTGAAACTTGGCAGCCAATTGCGCACAGCAGTGTCCCATAAAGTCGTGGGTTTAGTGACCAATCTATTATTTTTTTTAAGCAATTATTCCCCAAGGAAAAGCGATCCACCAATTGACTAACAACTGGGTTCTTATTCCTGCCTACTGCTAGGTAATCAGAGGCGTGTAGAGTAAGGAAACTTGCCCAATGTTTCGCCCTGCCTCGCTTGCGAAGCGAGTGCTCTAACCACTGAGCTATGGGACTCAATGTAATGAATGAGATCCCAAGAAATAAAGACTTGGCTTGGAAAGTTGTTCACATTTCACCAGCAAGATTACAAGAACTTTGCAACATTGTATTTAGAAACACACAAGTTACCTTGGAAAACAGGTCTGCATTATAAAGACAAAGAGTTCACCTAAAGCACTTTGAGTTTGTACTTTATTGTAAGTGAGGAAACACTGTTCAGTAGATCTTTAGGGTCTCTAAGAAATTCTGACTTTACAATGACCCAGTGGTCAAATATCCGTTGGAAGTAAACGTGTTTAACATCAATGTAACTTTTCCTGACATAAAATCTGCCACAATCGATACCCGTACTTTTTCTTAAAAAAAATGATCAGTTACATTTTTTATGCATCCAAAACATTAGCCAGAGTTGAATAGACTACTGTACACTGTTTGTGCATGTGTATCTCACAACCATTGAGTGTCCTAAGCTGTAAAATAGTTTGGTCTAACGCCTCAATAATAATGTAGGTTGGGTGGGGTAGCGGGAATCATTGGAATTAAGAGGCCATGCGGTTATTGACTACATTCCGTGTTTTTCTGTGTGTAGTAAGTTTACCCCAACAGTGCGACGTGCTGTATTGTGTTAATAGCTGAAATGTTCAACAGTGAAGGCATTGCAGCCAGCTCACAAAATTGCCATCTCTGTGATGGAAATATTCTGCAAAACACAATGTCTCTTGTTGTTGTTCGTGCTGCTGCTGCTGGATACTTCCGACAACAACAGCAACTTGCATTTATATAGGCACTACCCTACGTTGTTGCATTGTTGTTGTTCCTTATAGGTGCTTTGCCATCAGGAATTTGTGGGTCGAATGTCAAAAAGGCCTTTCACTCCTCTCCCTCACCCATCATGGAATCATTAACAGTGAACTTTCAACAACGAGCTTTAGACATCGATGCTAAGGCTGTTCCAGTGATCACTCATCACCTCCACCCTCACCACTGCCGCCCTTTTAAAGCACGAACCTCTTCAATCAACATTGCACACTCATTTAAGGAAAGACTGACAAATGATCTTGTGGTCATACTTATGTTAACAAGATGTGTTCAGTTGAAGACGGCCCTTTGGCCATTTTGATCTCATCCTTTCCAAAATGTCCACTCTACGTTCCTCCCAACGCAGCATCGAACCGTTTCTCCGATTACCCCAGTCCTTGCCAGACTGCACTGGCTGCCTATCCCAGAGAGGATTGACTTCAAGATCCTCACCCTTGTATTCCAATCCCTCCAATCCTCTGCACCCCCCCTACCTCTCTGACCTCCTCTCTCCTCAAAACAGTACCCGTTGACTTTTCTCTTTGACCGCGCCTTTGCTCACCTTCCTCCCCCTCCTCCTGGCTCAGCCCCGGGATCCGTCACTGTGAAACTCTGAGACACCGTGCAGCGTGGAGGGCACTATATAAATCCAAGTTGTTGTTGTTGTTCTTAAATGAGTCCTTAAATTAAGAAGTTTTCAGGGCACACGGTCTGTTATTTGTCAGATTTTTTTACAATGCAATTGGGAATCTACCAAAGGTAATACATGAAAACTCAATGGGAATTAAGACCTTCCAAGGTGCTTGTGGTATAATGTTAGGATTCAGTGGACCCGCTGGGGTAGTGTCTCTTTATAAGCGGAATAGAAACACTGAGAAAATCCTGACAAGGCACGTAAACTAAAGAGATTGCAATGACAGAATCAATCACTTGTGTGGTCAAGACAGCTCCTGCACTTCTTATAGAATCAGAGATCGTTATAGCACAGAAAGAGGTCAATCACCTTATCAACGGACCCTGAAACTCGTGAGAAAATCCTCCCATTCTGTCTTCATTTGGAAGTGTTTGAGAACCAAGGAGAAAAACGCTTTCAAATTAAGGCCGAGTTCAAATATTAATTGTAAGATAAAACAGTCTCACGGGTCCAGGCTAGGGGGATTTTGAGCTGTTTGCTGGTCTGCACTGTTTTTATTTCTCTACTTGAGCCACTTGATCCAATCTTCCTCTCCTGTTCGCTCGCCCCGCCTCTTTGAATAAAAATATACTCCAGGTCTTACTCACCACTCGTCTTTGATACATTGCAGCAAATGTACAGGTGTGTCATGGGCAATGAGATTCATTGTCAACAAAGCCTGGGCATCATATTCCCTATTAGCAGTCAATGCTACTTGACTGTGATATTCATTAAAATAGAACACTATTATCCTGTGCTGGAACAAAGCAATACAAAGTAGTAGAGGTTCACAATAACCCTAGGTTTTTTTGATTGCAAATAATAATAATAAACCTTGCATTTGATATAGCACTTTATCATGTCTTCGAAATGTCCAAAGCACTTCACAGGATATATTGTAAAGCGAATTGACTGTATATAATGTGGGCAAAATGCGGCAGCCAATTGCGCACAGCAGTGTCCTACAAACAGTCGTGAATTGAAGTGATCAATTGCTAATTATTATTATTTTGGGGGGAAGGAATTATTAACCCCGGAAAAGCGATCCGCCAATCGACTAACAACCGGGTTCCTACTTACTGCCAGGTAAACAGAGGCGTTTACCTCTGGAGTAAGGAAATTTGTCCAACGTTTCGCCCTGCCCGGGAATCAAACCAAGTGCTCCAACCACTGAGCTACAGTGAAAGGGTGGGATATTAATTCATGTTAAACATCACCAGTTCATGACAAATGACAAGTGCTGATGGCAAGTGTAAGGCAATTGTGTACCCCAATTGGGGTTAGCGACAGTACAGTTGGAAGCTTAGATAAGCGGTGGAATGGGTCGGAGTGACAGTTACTCCTAAGATGGGGTGGGGGCGGTACAAGCCACTGGTTCAATGGAATGGGGAGAGGGTGGTGCTAAAGATCAGCTGTAGATCACACAAGAGCAGAAACAGGAGCCTTGTATAAAGGAACATGAGATCAATAAACAGCGATGGCTGGCTTGTCAGGTACAAGTGCATTCATGCTACCTTGCGTTGACAGGCTGTTGTCCTTGTGTGTGTGTTCCATTCCGACCAGGACTAATAGCGTTCAAATAAAGCAGTCACTTGTATGACTCTATCACCCTTCCCTACCCTCCCAGCAGTTGATACACCTTCCGTACACATGACACCGACTTGGGAACTACTTGGTTCCACTATCAATTCAAGCCAGTTTGTCTGTCCCTGACCCTCTCTATAGGAAGGGTCTTCTACAGGAAAACAAAACTGACCATAACTGACATGTCACAAGATCGCAAGGTAGGTTCAGGTGAAGAAATCTCTTTCTCATCTCACCCTCTAGCACGCCCACTCTGCCATCTTCCCATCACAGCATCAAACTCGTTTCTAAATCAATCTGAAAGCCTTGGCCTCTTCCTGGTACCCTGTTCCAGTAGGTAATTACTCTCTGGGTAATAATATAATAACAATAATCCTTGTGTTTGATACAGACATCTCAAAGACTTCCTGGTAAAAAGGGGAGCGACTGCGCATTATGTAGGTGAATGTGACAGCGAATTTGCTCGCAGCAATGTCCCATAAACAGTCACACTTGCAAATGACCAAATTTAGTTGAGTGTCCCATTTTCACTGAGATAACTTGCAACCCTCCCTCCCTCCCTCAAAGTTACCGTGTTATTGACAGGCAAATCTGAGCCACTGTTTCCCCACAATCGCACATCTTTACTTTCAGAGACAAAAAGATAGCTACTTATTATTGACCTGAATCAACAAATCCTGCCAGTCAACCAGTTAATGCAATATATTTTAATGAGCTCTTTTATTCATGCCAAACTAAAATGGAGAATATTGGGACTTCAATGCTCTTTGGCTTCTTTGAGTGTAAAATGTATGATTCAATGATAATAATAATCCTTGCATTGGATATAGTGCTCCATCACGTCTTCAAGATGTCTCAAAGCATTTCACAGAATATACTGTAAGATGAATTGACTGTATATTTTGTGGGTGAAAATGATACCAGCTCCGGGTGTTAAAATTCTATCTGGGTCTAGACTTACTCTATTGACGTGGCATTTCAGAGTGAACCCAATTTGGCAAATTCGTAGAACACAACCTTTATTTTGAAGCCGTTTTTATTTTGTAAGTTTCTTTTATTCAACCGCAGGAAATCAGAAGATGACTTCAAAGCTAAGACTTAATTTAACATTGTGCCAAATTCTGCATGTTCTAAAATGCAAGAAAGTTTATCAAGTAAAATCTAGACCCCAGGTGCAATTTTATCCCCAATTATCTTTCAAAACATGGCACTTGCCCACCTCATTAATTTTCCCGTATGAAAGACATTGTGGAAAACTTACTCGAGGGTTGAAAATAGATGGTTATTAAGCCATCTATGCTGGAATGATGCCCTTTGTCACTTATGTGTGCGTGCCTGTCATACCTCGAGCAATGGATTACGCTTCCAATGCAGAGAGCGGATACCAGCTGAATTGCAAACAGATTGTTAACCAGTACATCTTAAAAGTCGAAGTGCAATCGATTCGTATCCACTGGGGTGGAGAGCTTATAGAGTATCATAAAGCATTCCTTGTGCTAATTAGGACAATGCTGCAACACCTTACCCTGCAGCAGAATTTGAAGTGGAGGTTGGGTGATATATTTTAAATTCGGCGTTATATTTTAAATATTTCAAAATCACCCAAGGGATGGAATGATTGTATCTGGATGCAGGCCAAGTGTCTAACGCTCACTTGTCAATTAGATCATTGGATTTTATTTTGTAAGCTTTAATCCTTCCCTTCGATCAATCTTGCAATTCTTCCAACCCAAGCACTCTTTCTTCAGCAATTGTACTTTCGCCTCTGATCGAATCATAGAAACTTGCAGCGCAGAAGGAGGCCATTAGGCTCAACGAGTCTTCACTGCCTCTCAGAGCAAGGTGTATCTTCAATCTCACTACCCTGCCCTGTTATAAAATAATAATCCTTGCATTTGATATAGCGCCTTCTCACATCTTCGAGACGTCTCAAAGAGCTTCACAGAATACACTGTAAAGTGAACTGACTGTATATTTTGTGGGCGAATCACGACAGCCAATTGCACAGAGCAGTTTCCCACAAACAGCTTTGAGTGACCAAATTATTATTATTATTTTTTGAGGGATTATTACTCCCGGAAAAGTAATCCTCCAATCGACAAACAAGTGGGTTCCTACTTACTGCTAGTTGAATAGAAGTGTATGGAGTAAGGAAACTTGCCCAATGTTTCCCCTCGCCTGGGAATCGATCCCAGGTCCTCTTGGTTGTGAGGCGAGTGCTCTAACAACTAAGCTACAGGACTGCACATATCCCCTTATCACTTCAGGCGTTTATTCCATCCATACTTTCCGCATCGTAACCGGGTCATGATCCATGACGGAGACAACCCCCTTCAAGTTTCAGTGAAGCTATAACGTCAACTGTAATATTTCAAAAGCACCTGTTAACCCATACTTCCCTGTTACCTCCGTTGAGCCTACTTAAGCATTACAATGGTCCCGGTTGCAGTTTCTTTGGACGACTGAAAGAAATATTGGGTGGGGAGGGGAGGGGGTTGGGAGGGTGGGAGGGGCTACAATCTAAGAGATTTTCCTTGTACTTTAGCTTGCATTGCAGTGCGTGTCAGGCTTGTAGATATACCCAGTGCTATTCATAAAGGTATCAAGCAATAAATATACACTGTGAACTCGCAGGGCAAGTGTTCATCATTCCGATGGTTCTTCCGACAGAGAACATGTATTGCCAATGTGTTTGTATGTGGCTTGGGGTGCACTCGATTTCCTGGTGAAAGCAAAATGGTTAACAGTGATTTAGAGACTTCGACAAAGGAAATGTCTAAGTGCTCTGAGACACTAAACCCCCACCCTCAGTAAAGGGCGCTATATAAATGTAAATTGTTGTCGTTGTTTTCCTGCGTCATGAATAATTACTTGCTTTGACTTGACAATCCTGTGTGCAAACATAAAGGGCTGTAATTCACCAAATGCAACAAGCAATGTCGTTTGATGTCTGCTTTGACCACTTCCACCACCCCCACCACCCTCCCCGACAGCTTCTTAAGCTTCTTATTCTCGTTTTGAAGTCTTTGAGAAGAGGAGGAGGCAGATTATTCAAAATGTGCTTACACGTTCCCATCCGAACACTTCTTCTGTGATTGTTCCTGTTCTTTTTTCTTCTGTTTCTCCTTCTGCTTTTCCAGTTTTTCTAAGGTTTTCCTTTCCCTTTCCACCGCTGCGTTCACGTCTCGAAGTTTCTTTTTGAGCAGGGAACGATCCTGCGAGTTAACGACTCCCAACGCCTGTGAACCGAAGAGAAAGAAAGAGATTCATTATAAGAGAGGAGGCTTAGCTCGTGAAAGCGTTCTCATTGTGGAATGTTCGATGTGTTGTAACGTTAGGAGAAAGACGACCATTGGCAACAGATATCTGTGAGCTTTGCAGCTCATAATAATAATAATCCTTTTATTTGATATAGCGTTTATAATCACGTCTTCAAGACGTCTCACAGGATATACTGTAAAGTGAATTGACTGTATATTTTGTGGGCCAACCGGTGCAACCAATTGAATATAGCAGTGTCCCACATACAGTCATGGATTGAGTGGCCAAATTATTATTATTTTTTAAAAGGGATTATTATGCCCGGAAAGTTATCCGCCAATCGAGTAACAACCGGGTTCCTGCTTACTGCTCGGTAAATAGAGGCGCGTGAGTAAGCAAACTTGCCTAAGATTTCACCCTGCCGAGAATTGAACTCGGGTCCTCTCGCCCTAAGACATTAAAGGTCCAAAATTCCACCTAGTCTTAGCCTGGAAGATTGCTTTGTTCTAAAATTAAAGATCCTCCAGGTTTATGTACTAATCTTCGATCTGATTTTTCTGTCGCTCTTAAAAAGAAGCAGCTTCCAAATTAAGAATTTATCCACAACTCTGCATGAACTTAACTCTTAAAACAAGAAAATGCGGTCACATTTTTGTGGGCGAATGCAGCAATTAACTTTCATGAACCAAGCGTGGTAAACTCAACAAGTATCACAAATTAAAGGTCATATCTCTTGAATTACAACCTGTGCAGATAATAGTCTGTGTGGGATGGGATTATCGCTTACTCATTCACCGCTGTACCAATTCAGGCTTCAGCTTAAAGGTCAACTGCAATGCATTTCAAATCATCTTTGTCTAAAAAGTCCGGCTCCGCTTCTAACCTTTCCCTCCACTTACCTTCAATTTGCTTCCGTCCAAGCGCAGCAGTTGTTCACCATCGATATTTCCAGCAGTGAATTCGGAGGAGTATTGGTCCATGTTCAGGCCTCTTAGCCACTGGCTGACTTGTTGCGTTGTCCAACTCGAAACCAGGCAATACGTCTGTCCTTCATCAAGACACTTGTGTAAAACAGATGGTATTCTAGTTACTGTATGCTACCATGTAGCAAGGCAGAGAGAGATTGATGAGATAATTATAATCCTTCCATTTGATAACACGCTTTATCACGTCATCAAAACATCTCAAAGAACTTGGCAATTAGCGTATAGCAATGTCCCACAAACAGCCACAAATAGAGTGGATTGTTGGCCAGGACACCAAGAGAAACTCCGTTCTCTCTTTGAATCATGCCATGGGATCTTTAACGTCCACCTGAACAGGCAGACGGATACTCGGTTTAATGGCTCATCTGAAGGACAGCACCTCTGACAATGTAATCGCCACCCCTCATCCCACACCCCAACAACACTGCACTGGAATGTCATCTAAAGCTCAATTTGGGGCTTGAACCCACAATCTTCTGACTTAGAAGCGAGAGTGCTACCGACGGAGCCAGGCTGACATCTGAATGCATGAGATTTGAGACACATGTCAGAAATACTAAGTACGGGCTGACAACAACAACAACAACTTGCATTTATATAGCATCCCTCATGTAGGGTAGTGTCCCAGAGCGCTCTACAACACAACAATAGAGAAAACACGGTCAAAGAGATACGTCATCAGATGGACCTTAATCTCAGTGGAACATCAGTTTGCATTAGCAGTCGCTGAGCTCACGCAAATCACCTGGTTTGGGTAACGGATCTGTTGCTAAGTTTAAACGCAATGTCCCAATCCATGTTCCGCGCCACACTTTCCTGCGTACTGTAACTCTGAGGTTTATTTTCACTGATATCAACTGAACTTACTTCATCGGAGGAAAGGGATAAAGTGTGGGTGGGAGTACCACGGGACTCGGCTATCGAGCTGCTCAGGATCTTCGGACTTCCACTTCGTGGGCTGGACTCGTTGCTCAGAGTGGAATCCTGTGTGTAGAGGGCAACAACAACAACAGCAACTTGTATTTATACAACGCCCTTCATACGGAGTAGCATCTCGGAGCGCTCAACAGTGACGGAGCGAAGAGGGAGGTCCTTGTAGCTCGCAGGGCAAGTTTCCTTACTCCACACATCTCTGTTTACCTAGCAGTAAGTAGGAACCCGGTTGTTAGTTGATTGGCGGATCGTTTTCCGGGGGTAATAATCCCTCCAAAAAATAATCATAATAATAAATTGGTCACTCAATCCCCGACTGTTTGTGGGACACTGCTGTGCGTAATTGGCTGCCGTGTTTCACTCACAAACTGTAGTCCATTCACTTTACAGTATACTCTGTGAAGCGCCTTGAGTTGTCTTGAAGACGTGATAAGGTGCTATATCAAATGCAAGGTTTTTTTATTTAAGTGTAGTAAGAAAGTGCAATGAAACATCTTAAGACAGACTTAACGCTCACCAATGAAGCACTAACACTTGGGCTGAGTGCCAACACATCCATGGAACTCTACCCCAGCGTGAGTCATAAAAATCAGACAATGGTGGGAACTGAATAAAGAGCTGGGTTTTGAGCGAGGAAATACCACATTAAAATAAAATGAGAAAAGGTCAACTTGTTTCCTTTGCCTCAATCAGCAACTTGTTAATTTGATGTCTTAATCTTCCTGACAAGCATTCCTCAAGCAAAGTCGAAGAGCACAATGACTCCTCAATCTCTTCCTGGACTTTCGCTCCGTCGTTTGAGATGAAACAGATGCTCACGGAATCTATTATGAGCTCTTAATTATGAACGTTCAGACCTCAAGTGGATTCTGGGTTGACAACTCATTAATGAGTTGGAGGATGTGTTTGGATAGCGAGTGGGACAGAATTTACTGATGCTCAACTCATCCGAGGCAATTTTTTGAGAAGCCAATTTTGTATGCAGAACTACATCAAGACAGTTGTTGTCTTGTCCTATTAACACGCAAGTGTCATTTTGTCAGATTCTATAGTTTGACAACTTTCTGATAGAACACGGAATCAGTAAAGCAGGCCAGGTTGCCGAATAAAATACACAGTCACTACACTATACAGCGATAAGAATAATAATCCTTGCATTTGGCATAGTGCTTTTCACCTCAGGAGGATGTCTCAAAGCGCTTCACAGGATTTACCATAAAGTGCAGTGACTGTATTTTGTAGGCAAATGCAGTAGCCAATTTGCACACAGTGGCACCCATGACAGATCCTTATGTGATAATAGCAGCCACACACACACACACACACACGCACTCACTCACTCACACAAACAGGATAAAAGATGAGAAGAAAGAAAAAGGAAAAAAAAAGGTTAGATATAAAACATTGCAGCAAAGGTACGGAGAAAAGCGAATAAAGGGATAGGACAGATAAGAGCACATGAGTTGCACTCTCCATTGGAGACCTGAGCAAGTTGCCCAATGTAATAAGACATAAAATCCTGCAGAAGTACAAATGATTCTCTGGAGATAGGATCAAGTACAGTGAAGAATTATAGGACCATACAGAGTGTGGAGATACTGATTATATCTCGCCACTAATCAAATTGTTTCCCTTTATTCAACCCGACTGTTATAAGGCATAATTTAATCGTTGAGCCATCCTACCAATTTTACGCCCTACATTTGCTCTTTCCAACAGAAGGGCTTCAATTCAATACTCTCTGCTCTTTTTTCCTGTCTGCAGAAATGCCATTAACGCCTTTACTGCAGGATTGAGACGTCTGGTTCGCTAGTATCAAAACTATGCTAAGCAAAGCTTGAATTTCCTCCTAGTTCTCCCAATGTGAAAGGTGCTGTACAAATGTCATTTTTGTTGTTGTTGTTTAATTTAATGTGAATTTAAGATGCCACATTTAAGAACTGTAGGAAAATGCATTAATTCGGGCTTGATTTCAGAAGCCGCTTTCATTTTAAGAACCGGTGGGGAGGGGGGAGTGGTGGGGGGGGTGGGGCGGGAGGCGAATAAAAAGACTTCCAAATTAAGACTGTGTTTTTAGAATTTGCCACAATTCTGTTCAGCCTTAAATGTTAAGGCAAAATAGTGTCACGAGCTAAGACTAGTTGGAATTGCAGATGAATAGTATCATTCAATAAATCACAAAGGCCAGACGTTTCATTTCATACACCTCTCCGACCGCCTCAATCCCCACTCCACTGCCGGCGCCTCTGCTTGACTGGCACTAGCCTCCTGCTCTTCCCTCGCACCCTCCACCCCACAATCGGAATCGTGCTTTCAGCCACTACGCCCTGAAACTCTGAAAAACTCTCCCTCAATTCCTCCGCCTTGCCCCCTCTCTCCTCTTTTATCAAGTCCCACCTGGAAACCTACTTTCCAACTGTGCTTACTGTTACCTCCCCTCCCCCCAGCCCCCGGCTCACCCAGCTCGGAGTCAGGCTCCACCACTGTTTAGCGCTCTGAGACGCTACCTGCTTTGAAGGTGCTATATAAATGCAAGTTGCTGTTGTTGATTTCAATTATTACTTTTTGAGATAGAGAGCCAGCTGGAGCAACCTTTTCTCTCGTATCTTGGTCTGAGAGACTGAAAGGTAGAAATGTTTTTGCATACTGCGGTTTCACAGTTTCACCTGTGGAATGAATCTCACTCCTCCCATTGCATCTGTAATCAAATGCCAACACAGAACATCTTTATTTCATTGTGTTTTCATGCAGAGAGAGTAAATCTGTCTCTCTCTTGCTCTCTCTCTCTGCATTTATTGCAAATATACGTCCACGCTACGTGTTGGGATTGCCTCTATTTGCTGCTCAGGCAAAAAAGCTAATTCAGGACAAAACCGAAGTATTCATGTCCCTTCAAATCCCAAATATTGCTTCTGAAGCTTTTACACAGTTATGTTTCACTTTTATCGCTAACAAGGCATAAAGGGACTGAGTAGGAAACTTCCCGCCTATTGATGAGCATGGAGAATTTTCCAATAAATGGCACATTATGTAAAGAAGCAGATGAAACTCTACCTCAATGTAGACAAAGCGGAAACACTTTGGCAACAGAACAATTTTTTTTTACCCCAAAAGTAAACTCAGTGAAAATACAGAGAAAAGGCTTGGTGAGTAGAGCAGCATGTAATAACAATAATAACCTTTCACACCAGAGGAAGTCTCAAAACGCTTCACAGGACCTACTGTAAAGTCGAATTACTGTAGGTGAACGCAACAGTCGATGTGCGTACAGCAAAGTTCCACAATCACTGCTGTTGAGAAGTTATCGACTGGGAAAGTATGGACTGTTGTCCTCTCTCTGTTAGGTATAGTTGCTGACCTAAGACAAGTAGGGAGGGATTGTGTGCAGGTGTAAAGATAAAGCAATGACTTGCACTTACTGCGTGCAGTTAGATATCTCAAAAGTGCTTTACAAAGTCTGGAGAGGGAGCCTATATAGAGTGGGAGATCAGGGAGTAGGAGGGAGATTATCAAAGATGCAGTCATAGAGTTTATAGAAATGTTCTTGAAAGCGAAGAGGCAGGGTGCGAGATGGAGGAGTTCAGATAGAGACGTCCAGGGAGGCTGTAAGCTCAGCCACCGATGGTGGGATGAACAGGTGGGGAGCGTGGAGCAAGCAGGCCAGAGGTGATAGAGAGAGGGTAGAGTGGGCTGGGGAAGTAAGGTCACTTTATAACCTGGTTCCTCATCCGGTAGACTGAACAGAAATCACAGTGACACCTGACCTTCAAAGGGATTCTCCACTCCTCTACTATATATGAGGCATCTCTCTCCCTCTCTCTCTCCGTGTCTCTCCCCTTCCATTGGATTGACTTCAATTCCCTTTTGCTGGTGGAGCAATAAGGTCAGTGGGGCACAGTAGATACATTGTGGACCAAAGGACGGATATTTCATCCGCAAAATATATAGTCAATTCACTTTACAGTACAACAATAACAACTTGCTATCAAGTCTTCGTGACGTCTCAAAGCGCTTCACAGAATGTACCATAAAGTCAATTGACTGTACATTTCGTGGATGAAATGTGGCAGCCAATTTAATAACAACAATTTGTGGTAATTGTAATGACACATTGCGAATCTCGACCTCAAAGTTCAATGACTACTGCACTTAAAGGCTTTCTTTTACACCTGCTCTAGAGTCTCCTCCTGCTGCTGGGAGGTGCCAGCGCCTATTTGAGTCTTAATGAGGTGACATTGACACTGTGCTGCCTTATTGTATTGCTCCTCGCTGCTTGCTCGTGGCTGCTAAGCCCAGCGAACTTGAGCTAATTACACAGTTTGACAGGAAGGGGATTGAAGGGGACTGAAGGGAACAGGGATTGCTTCAGCGACATGCAAGAGAAGAGGAACATCACTTGGTTCTCGCCAGAGAAGCTCGTAAAGGGGCGGGCATGCCCTCTGTGGGCCTTGCGGTTTGCTCTTGATAACAATCCACGCTTCAATAATGGGGGAGGAGGAGGGTGGGTGGTAGTGGGGAGGAATAGTCAATGCAGGAAAGGGTTCACTTCTTGTTAAAAAGATGAACTTGCTCAACTTGGAGGTTTGCCTGGCCTGTGGACAGCCTCAGACAGAATTCCCACTCTGTGTGTTCTGTTAAACCGTGTGGAAAATGCCCTGCGTTCACTGGGAGTAGGCCAAGCGAAAGCTAAGTCAATTACTCACACTGTTATAGGCTCCAACCCAGATGCAACGTAATTCACTTAGTCAACAATATCATCAAGTTCCCATTGCAGGCAACTACATACCCTCACCACCCCCACACACCCACACACCCATAAACACACCAGACCCCGCAATAATAATTGTAGGTTCCTTATTTCTTCTCCCCTTCACCCCCGTCCCCTATTAATAACTAATATGCAGCACCATGACTTGAGAACAACACATTTTTGCTTCAAGAATTTTGAGGCTGTCTTACAAAAGGAAATCATGTCAACTGAACTTTTTTGTTTGTTTTTCTCAGCTGGGTGTCTGACACATGCGGCAACCCATTACCATGCTTAAGAGTATCCAAACCAAGCTGAGAATTCCTTGCTCCTCACCTCCACATGGAAATCCCAGAGATGGGTTGTTGGAATGGAATGTGCACTCTCTCCCTGGAGGGACACATCCTGTTTAGCTAATTCCGGAAAGTATTTGGTGCAGGTTGGCAAGAGACAAGGCTTGGGGGAACCCCAGAGTGTGCGTTGGGCTAACTAAAAACGTATAACTTTGAAATTGAAATTGATGGTAAATCATATCTAAAAGGCTTTTGACTTCAACAAAAATGACAGCTTGCACTTATTTAGTGCCTTTCAAGCAGGAACGCTGCAGTTCACAATGCAAGATAGTAAAATTTCTCCTTCCCTCACGCTATTTTTTTCTTCATTTGTTTCTATATCTAACATCATAACCTTAATTATTTACACAGCACTTTAAACAAGCAGAGGAGCAGTATGCTGAAGAGGAAAGGCACAGGAATGAGACTAAACAATCTACTGTGATCTAATAAATCGACGGAATCGTCTTAAAAGGCTGAATAGTCTTATCCCATGTCTTGGTTTCTAATTCTAGCTGCAGTACAATGCATTACTCTGTCAAAAAAAATAAAGCGACACAAACACAATAATAATAATTCTTGCGTTTGATGTAGCACCTTTTTACATCGTTGAGACGTCTCAAAGCGCTTCATGGAATACATGATAAAGTGAATTGACTGTATAGTTCGTGGGCGAAACCCGGCAGCCAATTGCATTTAAAAATTAAATTAGATTTAAAATTTAAAATTAAAAAAGGACATCATTCACTAATTCATAGAATTTGGGTTAGAGATACATCTCCACGTTAAATCCCTCACCAGTGGCGTAAAAGATTGGGTCAGCAGTTAGACTTTCCAGGGAATGGGATGGTTACCACGGCTATGTAAAATAGCACATGAATGTGCCTTTTCATGGAGTCCTGTATCTCAGTGGTTAGAGCACTCGCTTTGCAAGTGAGAGACCTGGGTTCGATTCCCGGCGGGGTAAAATCTTGGACAAGTTTCCTTACTCCACATGCCTGATACTAATCCCTCAAGAAAAAAAAAATAAAATTGGTCACTTCAATCCACAACTGTTTGTGGGACACTGCTGTGCACAATTGGCTGCCGTGTTTCTCCCACAAACTATACAGTTAATTCACTTTACAGTATATTCTGTGAAGCGCTTTGAGACATCTCAATGATGCATTTTAAATCAAATGCAAGGTTATTTATTATTCTTATTATTAGTGCAGTTAATGCACTCTGCTTTCCCAACTTGTGGGTCATTGAGGTAATAATTCCTTCAAAAAAAATTGGTTACTCAATCCACGACTGTTTGTGGAACCTGCTGTGCGCAATTGGCTGCCGCATTTCACAATGCAAGAACAAAAACAAATGCGTTGCCCCAGGTGATGTTCCTTCTGAGATGTACAGGCAATGAATATTCTCCAGCCCTCCGAGACCCATTAGCTGTAATTTGGGATCTATAAAAGTACTCCAACATGAAAAACGAGAACAACAACAACAAGATTGCATTTATAGAGCGCCTTTCACGTCGGGAGGACGTCCCAAGGGGCTGGATAGTTGGGTCGAGAACTAACCCTGTGATGTGTGCCCCGAGTTTTCAATCTTATGGCTATGTGAATGCTTCAAAAAAATAACAAGAGCTACAAACGTAATTTGGTATTGTATTGGATAAGTGTTTGCTTTCGTAGTCTTAAATGTCAGATCGGAAAACTAAAGAGGCAATCTTCATCTTGTGCATCGATCTGTCAGTTTCCCTACATTGTCCCCAAAATGAAGCCATCCTTTTCTCTCTCTCTCTCTCTCTCCTCTGTCTCCCCACCTCTCTCTCCCCCCCATCTCTCTCTCTCTCTTTCATCCCTTGTAACCATCACCACATTACATTAGGAATCAACCAGAGGTGCAACTCAGTCCTGTGCCATTGTCCCCAACATTGACCAGAAATCCAATCGATCAAAAGGGACTGGGCAATGTCCATCATTTGTCAACCCACCCCTCTCCTGCCTCTTCCAAAGCCAAAGCCAGCAGATGACAACAACTTGCATTTATATAGCACACTTCACGCAAGCTTGCATCCTGGAGCGCTTCACAGTGGTGGAGTCTGACAACAATGAGCCAGGGGGAGAGGGAGGGAGGAGGTAATCGTAAGCATGATCGAAAAGGAAGATCTTTGAGCAGGATTTGAAGGTGAGAAACGAGGGGACAAGACGGAGGGATTGAGGGAGGGAGTTCCAGAGTTTTGGGGCGTAGCGGCTGAAGGCATGGTGGAGCGGAGGGGGCAAGGGACAAACAGGAGGCCGGAGACAGCTGAGCAGAAGCATTGGGTGGTGGAGTGGGGGGGTGTAAGCAGGTCGGGAGAGGTAGGGAGGTGTGAGGGAATTAAGTGATTTGAAAATGTGACCTGCCTGAGAAGCAGATTTTTGGGAAGGGAATCCCTGCGAGGAGGCCCTGGGAGAGCAGGTGGGTGACATTGTGCCGCTGGAGGAGGTCGATCCTTTGCTGCTGTCTGTGAACCACGAAAACGGTGCAAACTGCGGCACAGCCGACTTGGCCGAGGCCAGAATACTGACCGAGGTCTCAATGGACTCCCTGAAAGAAACAAGAGACGAGCGTAAGTCTTTGCTAATGGGACACAAAACAGCACCAAAGAAGACCTTGAGCGTCAATTTTTGGTAATGTTTTTTCGCTTTCTTTGGGCCAACGTTTTCTGCGACCCTATCACCCCTCATCCTCGCCCAGCTCCACTGGCTCCCCATCCCTCAGAGGATAGAGTTCAAGATTCTGGTCCTCACTTTCAAGGCCCTCCACAGCCTTGCTCCTCCCTCCCTCTGTAACCTCCTAACCCCCTACCAAACTGTTCACTCCCTCTGCTTAGCGGGTTCTAGCCTGCTTCACACCCCCTGCCTTGTCTGCCCCACCATTGGCAGGTGGGTCTTCAGCCTCGCTGCCCCCACATTCTGGAACTCTAGCCCCCAATCCCTCCGCCTCGCCCCCTCTTTTGCCTCCTTCACGTCCCATCTGAAGACCTTCCTCTTCGATTGTGCCTTCGGCCACCATCCCACACTCCTGCCCTCCTTACCTTCTGAACCCAACTCCTAGCTTGGGTCCAAAAAAAAGTGATTGTCCAGCGCCCGGCGATGTCTTTCTGATAATAATAATAATAATCTTTGCATTTGATGTAGCGCTTTTCACATCTTCTAGACGTCTCAAAGCGCTTCACAGAATATACTGTAGAGTAAATTGACTGTATTTTTTTGTGGGCAAAACACGGCAGCCAATTGCGCACAGCAGTGCGCATTCTGACATTCATACAACAAAGGGAAATTGACCAGAAACAACAACAACTTGTCTTTTTAACAGCACCCTTCACATAAGGTGCTCTGGGATGCTGTCCTGCATCAGGGGCGCTATATAAATGCAAGTTGTTGTTGTAGGGTCTCAGCGCTTTACAAAGTCAGGGTCGGACCCTGGGTGGTGGAACGGGTAGGGTTTGGGGAGGAGAGATGTGGAGTTGACAAGAGTGGAGCCTGAAGACAGAAAGAGAGAGGGTGTGAGATGGAGGGGTAGAGGGCACCTCCTTCTTTCCAATCTTCTACCCTATTCCTCTGCTTGGCTAACTTGGACTAGTTGCGCATTGCTTGGGACATCTCAAAGCCTTGGGACGTCCTCCCAATGTGAAAGGCGCTATATAAATGTAATTTTGTTCTTTGTTTGTTTGTTGTTGTTCTCCAATCCCCTCTGAACCACCATCAGTGGCCAAGCCTTTAGATCCTACATGCCTAACCTCTGGAACTCCCTCCCTTGACCCCCTCCATTTCGCACCCTCTCTGTCGATCTGTCTTCAAGCGGTGCCTCAAAACTTACCTCTTCAAACATGCCTATGACTGCCTCCGCTTCCCCCTCCCTTCCTCCATGTCCTGACCCCGTTTCTGGAAAAATGCTGAGTTGCTACCCTACATGAAAGGTGCTTTATAGAAGTAAAACGCTCATGCTGTAGCCATGAGCTGATCGAATGGTACGATCTTACCTGCTGCCGGTAGATAGCCTGTTGGCTGCTTTGTCTCCTCGCCTTCCCTTTGTGGAGGAGGATCTTCGAAGCTGAGCCCTGTAGTCAGGTCAAACATTTATTATAAAACTAACCCAAACTATTGTCTGAAAATCATTGGAAATATATTATAAATAACGTCCACTGAGTTTGCTCTTCAAGCTGCAGGTTGCACAATTTGGGTGGGGAGATTGAGGGGGAAACCCTCTGTATATTGTGTAATTGTCTGCAAAACGTACGCTGGCCGCACCACATTTGCGGAATAATTTATTTAGTTTTGTTCTTTGGAAAGGTTTTGGTGCAGTCAGCGTTTTGACGGATGTTTTGTAGCTCTGGTTGACAGGAACTAGTGGGTGGAAACATTTAACCTCTTGAGTACTGCCAGATCCAGGAAAAATAACCTTGACTGATGTTTTCTCTTTATATAATGGAGGGTTGTTACCAAACTCCACTTGCCTATCACTTCTAGTGCTTAGCAGGCTCCACTGGCTCTGATGTCTTGCCGCGGATTGATTTCAAGGTCCTCACCCTTACCTACAAATCCTTTCATGCTCTAACACCTCTCTGATCTTCTCCAACCCTCTTTTGCTCACTCCCCTCCACTCGGCTCACCCAGGTTTTATTTACATTTTAAAAAATCATAATAATTTGGTCACTCAATCCATGGCTGTTTGTGGGACACTGCTGTGTGCAATTGGCTGCCGCATTTCACCCACAAAATAAGTTAATTCACTTCACAGTGTGTTTCTGTGAAGCGCTTTGAGATGTCTCAAAGACGCAATAAGGCGTTATATCAAATGCAAGGATTATTATTATTATTATTAAACGATAGAAGAAACCAACTATTGTAATGTCTTTGCAAAGTACAAGCTGCGATTTGTATCCAAAGGATGATGTTTCCTGCTTTAATTTGGTGCCAGTACCTACCCGAGATCCAAGAACTTTCTCTTTGCTTTCTTGTCGAGTCCCACCACAGGACTCCCTGGTTCCCCTGGACTGGTCTCCTTACTATCACCAGAGCCTAGAATTCAACAAACACAAACATAATCAGAAGGGAAATAATAATATTATTATAATAAACGTCAGCCTGGCGCAGCGGTAGCACTTGCCTCTGGGTCATGGATGTGGGTTCAAGCCCCATGTCAGGACTTGAACTCACATAGTCTAAGTTGACGCTCCAATGCAGTGCTGGGGATGTGCTGCATTGTCAGAGGTGCGATCCTTTGGACGAGATGTTAAACCGAGGTCTTGTCTGCCTGTTCAGTTGGACGTTAAAGTTCCCATGGCGCTATTCGAAAAGAGAAGGTAGTTTCTCTCTCCCAGTATCCTGGACAATAATCTCCGAAATAAAATTGGTCACTCGCTCCTTGTTCGTGGGAAACTACTGTGCCCAACTGGCTTCCACATTTCGTCCACAAAATACAGTTAGAGCACTCGCTTTGCAAGCGAGAGACCTGAGTTCAATTCCAGGCAGGGCGAAACCTTGGGCAAGTTTCCTTACTCCACACGCCTAATAATAATCCCTCCAAAAAAAAAACCAAAAATAATAAAATCGGTCATTTTCAATCTACAACTGTTTGTGGGACATTGCTGTGCGCAATTGGCTGCCGCGTTCGCCCACAAATATACAGTCAATTCACTTTACAGTGTACTCTGTGAAGCGCTTTGGGATGTCCTTCCGACGTGAAAAGCGCTATATCAAATGCAAGGATTATTATTATTATTATTATTACAACACTTTGCAGTGTATCCCATGAAGAGCTTTGAGACGTCTCGACAATGTGATGAGGCCCTATATGAAATGCAAGGATTATTATAAATAATAATAATAATATTAATAATAATAATCCTTGTAATCTGACAACTCTAAAAAGAAAAACTGCAACCGGTCCAATCTTCCTCGACAGCTTTGTGTACAGCATCCTTGTAAACCTAGACTGTGTTCTCTCTGATGCTACAATGAGTTACCTAGCAGTAAGTAGGAACTAAGTAGGTTGCTACTTGATTGGCGCATCACTTTTCCCAGGGAAATGATCCTTTTTCCAAAAAAAATGAAATATATTGGTCGCTCAATCCACAACTGTTTGTGGGATACTGCTGCGCGCAATTGGCTGCCGCATTTCACCCACAAAATACACAGTCACTCCAGCTTATTCTGTGAAGCGCTTTAAGACGTCTCGAAGACATGATAAGGTGCTATATCAAATGCAAGAATTATTATTGTTACAGCACCTTCACTGTGTTTTTCTGCCCTCCTGTCCCTCCGAGTGTGAATGGGAGAGGTGTCCGAACTATGGCATGATTTGGAAGGAGAACTGGCAGGTGTCAATCCCAGGGTCTCCTGTGATGAGACGTCTGTCAGTGTCTGGTCACGTGTGTGATCTCCATCCTCATACGTCCTCCTCATGATATTGACGTCAAACAAGAACGCAGACGACCTGCACGAGGGAGACGCTGAGGAGAGGACTGATTCAGAAGAAGGAGAGGATCCTCGAAGGGAGGAGTGGAGAGGAGACCTCATGTTGTGCAACGGGCTTCCATAGCTGTCGGAAGCCTGGAGGGAAAAATAGACGGAGCAAAAACATGAAACAAGAGGAAAAGGAGATCTTAGGAGAGATTGTTTCGCTCAGTAAAATACACAGTCAATTCACTTTACGATATATATAATAATATAATAATCCTTGCGTTTGATATGGCACCTTATCATGTCTTTGAGACGTCTCAAAGCGTTTCACAGAATATACTGTAAAGTGAATTGACTGTACATTTTGTGAAGTGCTTTGAGACGTCTCATCGACTTGATAAGGTGCTGTATCAAATGCAAGTATTATTATTCTATAGATTCCTGGAAGAGCCATAAGTTTTCCAATTTATTCTGGATCGTCATTACATAAAGCAACTTGTTCTCTAAGCTTTATTGCAGTGAGCACTGGCCTGCTTCGTGTCCTCAACCCCAATCCACCCCACCATCGGCAGACGAGCTTTCCGACCAAACCCCACCCCTCCCCCCAACTCCCTCCACCTCACCCTTGTCCTTCCAGAAAGGGGAGGTTGCGGCCGAGACATTGCAACAGAGCAGCTCGATGCCATGAGAGGAGAATGGTGGGTTGGGATTTTTTTGTGTGGAAGGATAAGATCAGATGGGCCAAAGGACCTTTTTCATCCAAAACCAATCTTGTGACCTTGCGAGAAGAGGTGGCCTCCCGATGTGAGAGGTGTTGTATAAATATAAATTGTATTTGGAAGATGGCAACACAGAACCAAGAATAGACCATTCAAAATACATTGTTTTTCAAAAAAAATTGTTTTGTCCACAAAATACACAGTCACTACACTCTGCTGCAATAAAGGAGTATATCCTGTGAAGCGCTTTGAGACGTCTCGGAGACGTGATAAGAATATTATTATATTCAGCACCTCCATACTCTTTCACCATTCTCTCAGGTCATGGCTGATCTGTATTTCCCTCGACTCCATTTACCCGTCTAAGCTCCATATCCCTTGATACCCTGACTTAACAAACATCGATCGACGGTAGATGATACTTCATAGAATTGCAGATATTTGTATTGTGCTTGACAATCGCTCACCTTCCTCTCCAGGCTCTCATCCCCTTCTGTGGAGCTGATGCTATCTCTTAGTCGAGATCTTGATGGTCTTTGCCGTCTTGCTTTGACAGAGAGCTGGGCTCGAGCTTTTTGCAGACTGTTGTCGAGTCTTTCTGTCTCTGGTATCACCTCATTAAAATCTGCGGTCATATATGGAGAGTGATGACAAAGCATTAATAAGAACAGGCAGCGTTCAGTGCAAGGAAATTGATCAAAGCACTTTTTTGTGGCAGCAGCGTGTAAATGTTCATGCCATGTCAATTGCATAGAATTACATAATAATAATTCTTGCATTTGATATAGCGCCTTATCACGTCTTCGAGACATCAACAACAACAAAGTACATTTTTATGGCATCTCAAAGCTTTTCACAAAATATACGGTAAAGTGATTTGACTATATATTTTTGTGGGCAAAATGTAGAGAAACATACATAGAGTTATACGATATGGAAACCCAACCGGTCTTAGCTTATGCTCCACATAAGCCCCTGCCCCACCTATTCTCCTCTCTGTCAGCCCTTTATTCCCATCTCCCTCAGCTGCACATCCAATTTCTTTTTAAATGCATCGATGCTTTCTGATTCAACCACAGCTTCCAGCAGTGAGTTCCACATTCTCACCAACAACAACTTGCATTTGTGTAGCGGCCCTCACATGAAGTGAACGACACATATTACCGTCCCTCTGCATGAAAAATTTCCTTCAAAACTGCTTATTAGATCTACCACTGGCTAGTTCAGAGATTCATGTAGATATTTGCAACGTCGAAGGAGGCCATTTGGCCCATCAAGTCAACAACTACAACAACTTGCATTTATATAGAGTCCCTCACACAGGTTAGCGTCCCAGAGCGCTTGAAAAGTTTTCAGACATGCCCTCAAGATGGGGAAGGAAGGAACAAGTCAGTGCTTACTCTCTAGAGGAAGAGCTTCAGCATTGACTCTCAGACAAAGCTGTCTACTTTCCCTCTTGAAACCCCAAATGGACTCTAACACCTCGCCAGCAGGGAATTCCACATCCCAACAACTCTCTGTGTGAAACAATCTCTCCTAAGATCTCCTTTTGCTTTCTTGTGACTATCTTGTATCTGTATCCCCTGCTCAATGACTCCCCTACCAGTGGGAAATAGATTCTCCCTATTCACCCTGTCAAAACCCCTTATAATTATGTCCACCTCAATCAGGGATCCTCTCAACCTTCTCTACTCCAGTGAAATCACACCCAATTGTTCCTAATCTTTTCTCGTAACTAACTCCTCATTCCTGGTAGCATTCCAGTTTTTATATTCACGATGGGGGGACATTAAGAATAAAGCATTGCACTTCAGAGATAAAGCAGCTGTGGATAATAATGCCTGGGCTCAAACCAAAGCAGTTTATGTAACGTTGGTCGATTGCATCAGAAAAAAGAGTTGGGACATTTTGAGTTGAATATTTTACGGAGGACATCTAGTTGTAATTTCCTGTTCCGAATGTCAGATGAACGAGCACCATTTAGGGTTGAGTAATACACATTATGTTGGACTGATATTGTGTTGTTTTTCAATTAGTTTCAGAAGCAGGGAGAGATTTGGCAAGGTTTTATGTAAACAGCAGCCCTATCTCTGATTATTCATCTCCCTCAGGGTACAAAGTAAACTGTGAATGCCCACTTAGAGTACAGATTAGCTGTGGTGTATTTGAATGTGACAGCCTGAAAAAACCTTATCTCATCTTGGGAGTCGAAATTCCAGGAGACAAGTTTTGAAAGAGTTTTTTTGTGCCTGTTTATTTACTCACATATATTATTACAAAGGAGACATACATCTTGTCCTAGAATTGCCAACAAGTGGGACTCCCAGCATCTAATCACAGCATTCTAGTCTCTGACTCAGAAGCTCTTATATTCATGATCTACATCGGGACTTTGAACTCACATGTCTAACCTGACACTCCAGTGCAGTGCTGGGGACGTGTTGCGCAGTTAAGAGGTGTCGTCTTTGGGTGAGATGTTAAACCAAGGTTCTGTCTGCCTGTTCAGGTGGATGTTAAAGATCACACGGTACTATTGGAAAAGAGAAGGAAGTTTCTCCCGAGGTCCTAGTCAACAATCCCCTCAGATAACATTTGTCGTTCAATTCATGCCTGTTTATAGGACAAATTTTACACAGTGAAGCGCTTTGGGACATCCTCCCAATGTGAAAGGTTTTAGATCTCATGTAAGGACAGTTATTATTGCTGGCCTTGGGCCCCTGCCGACACAACCCTGAAAAGCTTGGAACATGTTAGAAGCAATGAACGAACGTATACTTTCTTTTCCCCATTCATTTACTCAGCACTGAACTCCTCTCAGGAGTTAACTCTTCCATGAAAAAACATCTTTGTGTTGCCTACAGTGTCTCAATGAGTCCTATTGATCTGCCTGTGAGTCCTCATGTCAAACACATGGATGTCAGCCATCCATCCAGTGAAGCTTAATTGTTTAACATTTGTGTTCAATCCAGGCTGACAGGTTCTCCTTTTCTCACAAACCTTTGGTTGATTAACAACAACAACAACTTGCATTTATATAGCGCCCTTCACACAGGGTAGCGTCCTGGAGCACTTCATAATGGCGGAGTCAGACAATGAGCCAGGGGCAGAGAGAGTGGGAGGTGACCGTCAACACGATCAAAAAGTAAGGTCTTTGGAATGTCCTCCTGTTGTATATTAAATGGAGTCCCGTGGCATAGTAGTTAGAGCACTCGCCTCGCAAGTGAGAGGACACAGGACCCTGGTGGGGCGAAACCTTAGGTAAGCCTTTCCTTACTCCACACGCCTCTATTTACCTAGCAGTAAATAGGAAACCAGTTGTTAGTCAATTGGCAGATCGCTTTCTGAGGGTAAGCTCTCTCAAAAAAAATTGGTCACTGAATCCATGGCCACTTGTGGGACACCGCTGATTCACCCACAAAATACACAGTCAATCCACTATACAATATTATTGTAATAAATGCAAGGATTAATTTTTTTTATTAATCTTCACTTACTCTGCTCCTTGCACTTACTGTTCTGTTCTACACAATTTTCTTTGAGAAAAAAGTCGAGAGCACGGAATTGTACTAGCATTGCTGTCACATTGGGAGAGAGCAGAGTCAAGGTTAAGCTCTTTGTCAGCGTGTATGCAGAGCGTTCGTCAAACCAGCTGGTGACATTTACCATTTCAGGATACGTCAGAGGGACAACCTTTCAACAGCAGAAGGTGAAAGGTGTGTGCTCAGTCTTACAAAGTTCATTTTCCACGAAGTATTTCATAGGCTTATGCGGCAGCCAATTTGCACACAGCAATGTCCCGGAACAACAACAACAAAATGACACTTACACAGCGCTTTATAATATAATAATAATCCTTGCATTTGATTTAGCGCTTTTCACGTCTTCTAGACGTTCAAAGCGCTTCACAGAATATATTGTAAAGTGAATTGACTGTATATTTGCCTTTCACGTCGGAAGGAATTCCTGAGGCGCTAGACAATTAACGATTTGCACCCAAGCTGGGGGGTAGAAACAAGAGAGCTTGGAGGATAGTGGGGGTGAGCGGGTGGGTGGGAGGGTGGCCGAAAGCACCATCAAAGAGGAAAGTCTTGAGATGGGCCTTGAAGAGCAATTGTCTGCCGCGTTTCGACCATAAAATATACATTCAATTCACTCTACAGTGTATTCTGTGAAGCGCTTTGAGACGTCTATAAGGCGTTATATCAAATGGAAGAATTATTATTATTACTATGAAACCAAGGTCTCAACTGCTTATTCAGGCAGCCCAATTTAAGATATTTTAAAGGTGTTGTATTTTTACTTTAACTTTGCCATATTAAGCCAATTTCACATTGAGGTTACATGAAGCGAGCTTTCTAAACGCAAGTTGTTGTTGGAATTAAATGTTCTGCTTCCAGGTTTCTGCCGATGTTGTTCCATTGCCTGCCAGAAGGGGGCAGGCGGCAGTCAAACCTTCTTTCTCAATTGGTCACTACCTCATTGGCTGCCTGCACAAAATATACAGTCAATTGACTTTTGTAGTATATTCTGAGAAACGCTTTGAACGTTTCGAAGACGTGGTAAGGCACTGTATAATAATAATAACATATCCAATGCAAGGATTATTATAACAGAGCACAAATGGAACAGTGAACTCTGAGTAAAAGCAAATGACCCTTATCGGATATCCCTGCAGCTCCTGCTGATATAACAACAACAACAACAAAATTACATTTATAGAGTGTCTTTCACGTCGGGAGGATATCCCAAAGCGCTGAACAGTCAGATGTGGCGTGGGAAGGCAGAGAGGTGGGAGGGAGACCAAAGGCACAGTCAAAGAGAAGGGTCTTGAGACCAGCCTTGAAGGAGGCAAGGGGGGAAGCGAGGTGAAGGGACCGTGGGATGGTGTTCCAGAGTGTGGGGGCAGAGAGGCTGAAAGCCCGGCCACCGATGGTAGGGCGGGTTGGGCGGAAGACATGGAGCAGGCCAGAGCCCGCTGAACGGAGGGAGCGGGCAGGTTGGTAGGGAGTCAGCAGGTCAGAGAGGTAGGAGGGGGCAAGGCCATGGATGGCCTTAAAGGTGAGGACGAGGATCTTGAACTCAATCCTCTGGGGGATGGGGAGCCAGTGGAGTCGGGCGAGGGTGGGAGTGATGGGGTCATGGAGCCTGGTGTGCGAGAGTACACGAGCTGCAGAGTTTTGGATGATCTGCAGCGTGTGAAGGAAGAGTTGGGAAGGCCGATGAGGAGGGAGTTCCCGTAATCAAGCCTTGATGTGACGAATGCGTGGGTGAGGGTTTCGGCAGCCTGTGGGTGAGGCAGTGGCGGGTATATATAAGACGGGTAATGAGAAGAAATCTTATGGAAAGCAGGAGAGGCTGACGCGGAGGCAAGTCCTGTTGAAGCCAGAGACAGTCTGTTCCCACTGTTTCCGATTTACAATGTGTCCGTCTCTAGGGAATATCCCTCGGAGTTCAGAATAAAATTAACATGAGAGAAACATGACAAATCTTAATGAGCTTTGGTGGAAACGGAAGATAAGATGGGCGTGTCAGGCCAGAAAAACAAACTTACCCTTTTGCCAGTAAAACACTGAGGAATTTAGATAACAAAATGTGGCTTAATATCCCAGGCTAATTTAAAGCCTTTTTGCCTTTT